CCCAAAGGAGAACTATGGTATACATTTAATGTTATCTGAATCAGAATTTGTTATTGTATACTTTGATGACATCTTAGTTTACAGCAAAAGCTTGCTTGATCATATTGACTATTTGAGGTGTGTGCTTGAAGTCTTAAGATGAGAAAAGTTATATGCTAACTTAAAGAGGTGCACTTTCTGTTTGGATAGAGTCGTTTTCCTTGGTTTTGTTGTAAGTGCTACGGGTGTTGAGGTGGATGAAGAGAAAGTCAAAGCCATCAAAGAATGGCTCACACCAAAAACCGTTTCAGATGTAAGGAGTTTCCACTGTCTCGCTAGATTTTACTAGAGATTTGTGAAAATTTTTAGCACAATGGCAATTCTTGTAATTGAAATCATTAAGAAAGATGTTGGCTTCAAGTGGGGAGAAGCACAAGAAAGTACGTTTTGCACCTTGAAAGAAAAGCTAAGTTCCGCCCCATTATTACTTCTAACATATTTTTCTAAAACCTTTGAAATCGAATGTGATGCTTCTGGTATTGGTATAGGTGTCGTTCTGATGCAGGACAAATGACCCATTGCATACTTTAGCGATAAACTCAACGGTACAGGTTTGAATTATTCAACCTATAACAAAGAGCTATATGCCTTAGTGAGAGCATTGAAGACATGACAGCATTATTTGTGGTCCAAAGAGTTTGTCATCCATATAGACCACGAATAAAGCATTTAAAGGGTCAAAGCAAGCTGAATCGTAGGCATGCACGTTGGGTGGAGTTCACTGAGATATTTCCATTTGTGATTCAGTACAAACAAGATAAGGACAATGTGGTGGTCGATGCGTTGTCACGCAGGTAGGTTCTTGTTTATACTCTTAGTGCTAAATTCCTAGGATTTGAGCATATTAAAGCGATTTATGAGAATGATTTAGATTTTGGTAGTGTTTTTGCTACTTGCGAAAATGGTACATTTGAAAAAAATTGTCGGCATGATGGTTACTTGTTTCGGGAAAGCAAACTTTGTATTCTTAAATGTTCTTTACGTGAATTACTTATGTGTGAATCACACGGGGGAGGCTTAATGGGGTATTTTGGAATTTCTAAAACTTTAGATATGTTAAAAGAACATTTCTTTTGGCCTAATATGAAGCGAGATGTTGAGAAAATATGTTCCAGATGCATAACGTGTATGAAAGCAAAGTCTAGGGTTAAACCACATGGATTATATATGCCTTTACCTGTTCCTACAGACCCTTGGATTGATGTGTTTATGAATTTTGTATTGGGATTGCCTAGACTAGTAATGGCCGGGATGCTATATTTGTTGTGGTTGATCGATTTTCTAAAATGGCACACTTCATTCATTGTTACAAAACTGATGATGCTGCTCATGTGGCAAATTTATTCTTTCATGAAATAGTGCATTTGCATGGAATCCCTAGAACAATTGTTAGTAATCGAGATGTTAAATTTCTTAGTCATTTTTGGCGTGTTTTGTTGGGTAAGTTGGGAACAACTTTGTTATTTTCTACTACTTGTCACCCCTAGACAGATGGTCAAATCGAGGTAGTAAATAAGACTTTAGGAGCCTTGCTACGAGATGTTCTTAAAAAGAATCTAAAGTCTTGGGAAGCTTACATTCCTTTCATTGAATTTGTATACAATAGGTCTGTGCATTCTTCTACAAAATTTTCACCTTTTGAGATTATTTATGATTTTAATCCACTAACTCCATTGGATTTGTTGCCCTACCTGTTAATGAGATTGTTAGCCTAGATGGAAAGCATAAGGTCGAATTAGTAAAGAAAATTCATGAAGAAGCACAACAACACATTTTGCACAAGAACAAACAGGTTGCTAAACGAGCCAATAAAGGAAGAAAACAACTCACCTTTCAACCTGGTGATTGGGTTTGGGTTCATTTGCGCAAAGAGAGATTTCCTAATCAACGAAATTCTAAGCCGAAACCGCGTGGGGATGGACCATTCCAAGTTTTGGAGAAGATCAATGATAACGCATACAAGATTGATCTACCTACTGACTATCAAGTTAGTTCTACCTTTAATGTGACTAACCTTTCTCCTTTTGATGTAGGTGTGGATTCGAGGATGAATCCTTCTGAGGAATGAGGGAATGATATGGGATAGCTAGGAAGAATGGAACATGAAGAGGAGAAAACGCATAAGCTTGATGAAGGAACTCAAGATGAGCTTGGAGAGGATGCACAAGGCGTGGATTTTCAAATACCAACTAGCCCTATAACAAGAGCTCGGGCAAAGAAGCTACAAGAAGCCATAAAAGGCTTGGTAGGATGATGAGTGCTCCACATTCACGATATTTATACCACTTAATTCATTATTTTGTTACCTTTGAGAGAGTTTTAGACTGTTTTTATGTGTGTTTTGATATTGTGATGTAGGTTGGTGAGATTGAAGAAAATAAGCAAAAGTTGACAAATTTGGAGAAATTGGCTAAATTGCAATAAATCTAAAGTTTGGGGATTAAAGTGTAAATACTCAAAAATTGTGCCGATCCTTATAATGAAGATTTGAGAGTGTTAAGGGAAAACTGGATGAAGAAAGATGTCAAATGGATCAAATTTAGTCAAAATATGATCACAAATCAATTTCCAACCGAAAAGTTATGCTCCGAAGTTTTAGTATCATATTGAGACCCATTTTTGGCACATAAAACGATCTAATTGGAGAATGATTTCTGAAGAAATGTTGTAGCCCTATGAGTTAGCTTTCCAACGCACTTTGAATTGCCTCAATTAGATATCGGAATAAAACATTATGATAAAAATACTAAAAATCCTTGGTTTTGGTAAGGATCTACCTTTTACCATGTGTGTATTGGTGTATGTAAATATGTCTAACACAGCTTGTAAGTATACTTGATATGACTAAATGAGAATCATATGTACCTGGCACTTTTAGTATAAGGCTTTTATCTATCCCTATTTATACCGTAGTTAATCCATTTCCTTTTCTCAGCTTAGTTTAGATTTTCTCTTTTAAACTCACCATTTCTTTCCAAAACAATGCACGTCTTGTGAGTAGGGAGTTGGAACCTTCCCAGATACTGGATACGTCGCCAAATGTAGCATCCGGATGAGAACCACAAACTTCCATGATGCTGAGGGAAGAGACAACTGGGGAAAAACAGGGCCAATCTGAATGCATTTTCTTCCCAGGGTAGATACCAGGGTAAAAACTGAAGAGACCATAGTTGTTGCCTCATGAGTGTTCTACACTCATAATATTTATGTCACTTAATTCGTTACTTTNAAGTTGGTGAAATCATTTCCTAGGCTTTCTTATTTTGATAATTTTATATTCTCCAATTTTGTAGTCGCATATTACTTTTGATTAATTTAAAACAATTATTCAACCATTCATCACTTGTCTAGATAAAATAGAAACTGTATAATTATAGTATTTAGTGGAATTAAATTACAATCTCTGTGGGTTCGACACTCTAACTCTTTTATTATATTACAAAATTTGACACCGTACACTTGTGGTATAAATTCACATTGTAGAAAACGCGTGACATAGGACGTGTACTTGAAGAAGAGACCAAGTCCAAGGCTAATTCCAACGAGTTGGGCTTACAAGAGGAGACCAAGATCATGAATCTTATTCAAGTCCAATACAGTGAAGACCCAATTACATTGGGTTAAGTCACTAGTTATCTTCTTTCTTAATAAGTTTTTTTTGGATCTTAGTTATTTGGTTTTGGGCCTAGACTCTTATAATATTATGTTAGGCCTTTGTTTTAATTATTTTGATTTTTTGGGCCTATTTTGACCCAACTAATGTCGGGTTCAAATGGGGAATCCTAGATTAAGGTTTTCTATTAGATTTACAATTCAACTTAACATTATAAATAGGCTTGAACTCCCTTTGTAAGAGGCAGTTTATGATATACAATTGAGAGGATTTTTCTCCTCCTTTGTTCTTCAGCAACTTTTCGGGAATTCCAAGTGTTAACTTGTGATTTCCAAACCTTTATAATACTGGTTTCTGGTTCTTTATAACCACGTGGTCAATATTCTTTCTTTACCTTTGAATTTCTTATATGTTGACGATCCGGGTTCGTATTCCAAAGTATTGTTGTCGGGTCTCAAGACATTGTTCGTCGATGTTTGCAAACCTCAAAAGCTGCTTTAGAAACGACTCTTACCGGACTTTGACAAAATAGTAGCAACATTTTAAAAATCTTCTCATGAGATTTTCGAGCATCATTTTGGAACTGTTCAATCTCCATTGCCACCAAATTCATGGTTGAGTATGTCCCATGTTCCTAAATTGAAATGTGATGCAACTAGAGTAGCAAATCCTTTGACTCTTTTCTTTTGAAAGTGGAATGATTTGAATAAAGAAATGGATAGATGATACTTCAATTTTGTTTCCATTATGAGACAATGGATGGATATTAACCGAAGAACATAGTGCAAGATTCATTTCGATCCTACAACTAAAATAAGGAGGTCTAGCCTTGTTATTTTTTTAATTAATTTCTTGCATTTAAGTCGTCAGGGAGCTTTTAGTCTTTAGTTATATATTAAGACTTTTAATTTTCATCATAATAATTTAATTTTAGTCATTAACTATATTTTAATCATTGCTTTAAATAAGGGTTGTAAAGCCTTAATGACACTTAGTTGTTCTTGAATTGAAATAAAATATTTTCTCCAATTTTTTATTTGTTGATCAAATAAAATATTTAGTATTCTTGCGAAGAATCAACAATGTTTTACTGTATACGTAATAACATATTTATAGGTTGTTTTTTTTGCTCGTCATAACTCTATGAGCAAATCAAGCTCGGCAAGTTGATTTACTAATTTTATTTTCATATAAAAATTCCATCCTAGTTTACTTGATTAACTTGACTCAATGGTTGAACTCATTGAGAGCGCGAAAAATGAAATGAAAGCATATGTAAAAACAAAATTACCACTGCCGTTTTATTATATAAGTTACAAAAAATCAAAATCAAATATGAAAACGTCCCTCAAGCATTGAAAATCATATGAATCACTAGCAATGTAGCAACCAACGCGAAAAGTCCGAAAGACTCGTAATTAATACAGACGGCAGCGGAAGTCGAAGACGTAGTCGACGATGGCGATGATGGAGTACTTGCGGTACCATCTCCGGCGACGGTTGTGATTTTGAGTTTCATGCCCTGGCCGCAGTGGCCTGGTGTACCACAGGCGAAGTAGCGTGGACCAGGTTTGTTTAGTTTGACCGTATTGCTACCTCCGTTCAATGAATTTAATGCACTCGATATATCACAGCTTTTGTATGAACTTTCACTGCCGAGTTCGACAACGCTGTGCAGTCCCGGAGTGTATTTGAACACTGAAATGAAAAATAAATATTAAACTATAATTTCTAAACTTAAAATAAATAGGCTCTTAATGATTTTGGACTTTCTCGAGTATTCATAGTACTTTTCTACTATTTTTAATTGAACAAACATAGAATTAGAATGTTCTTTTTCTGTTTTTATGCAGCTTTTCAGTTCTAAGTTCTAAGTTTTAGCCATCAGAATTTGTTCAATTGCTACTCTCTTTTCTCACAGCATCTCCAATCGTGGTGTGAAATTACTTGTAAATAAGTATGTTCGAAATCACTTTTGCATCATTATTTACATCTTGGTCGATCTAAATTCAAATTATACTCCAATGAAGAGATAATGTCATGTTTGGTACAAATTTTCATTTTCTACAGTAAATCAATTCTCAATTTCAACCTCACATTCTTCAATAAAATAATATTTTCCATCACATCAATACTTTTTTCTTCTTTTTAAACCACACATTTTCAGCAATACCATTTTTTTATTTTTTTTACATTTTCAGTCAGAATATGCAATTTGCATATCCTATGCATCTCTATTTCACACCACTGACGCTCTTAGTAACAGACCGAGCTGTTCATTTAGCATATTGAAACGAGATAGAGAGAGAGAGAGAGTACCTAGTTCATCCCCAACCTTGAATGTCTGAGAAGATACCCATGAATTGAAATCTGTAGATTCATCCCATCCTTGGCTTCCTCCCACAACATGTTGCTTTCCCAAAGCTTCTTTCTTAATCAATATTGCTGCAAGTACAAACACTAACAAAAATCTGCAAGAAATCTGCATATTTTCCTTTCTTCTGATTAATTCAAAGAATACTCACCTGATGCAGACATTGGTGTTCAGAATACTGAATATATATACACACACATTAGTGGAATGGTAGTTCTTATCTTGCATTTAAAGAATACACTCATCATTTTTTAGTAATCTTTGTAGACTTGGCTTATTCATTAATGTACATTGATGGTTACACATAGTTGCAGTAATATTTTTAGATTATTTCCCAAGCAAATTATGATGGTTCAACAAGAGGTGGAGACTTCGCTTTGAAACTAAGAAAGGTTTCCCCATAATTTTCACGAGTGGGACGGGCGACATGTGTGGAATCTTACCTTGTACGCGAACGTGGTAAAGCAACATTGAGATGAAATATAAGTAATAAATAAATATGTCTAATCTCTAACAAATTAATTATTTGGATAAACAGGCTGAATATAGTATGAAGGGCATCAGGAAAATGAACATTGCATTTTTGCCTTCCCATGCACTTGTTAACTGCAAGTTGAAATAAGTCAGGTATACCGTACTAGATAGTATTAAACAAAACAAAAGACAAATTTTATCACATTCTTCTATTTTTCAATTTTGTTCAATCAAGTAATTCAAAATATCAATTATCAAAGATGCCTGACATGCCCGGGCATCTGTAGTTTCTCCAAGTCTCTCGTCAAAGTTTTGTGAATGGTTTGTTCATATCTGAAAATTACTGCCTCTGATTTCTGAAAAATGCTACAATCTTATTGTAAACAATATCCATGGCCGTTTTCCCCCACTATGAAATCTGCATGTGCATAATCCTTTATATACTGAACATGGATCTTGTCTTCATCGTGTAATTTAAGAATATCAAGCAAAGTATCCACATATTGTACATCAGAGAGTTCATCTTCCCCTCCATAACTCAGACAGATGGGCAGATCACCAGGGATTTTTGACAAATCGTAAACCGGAGGTTTTGGTTTGCCGGTTTTGGTTCGCCGTAATGCTCCTCGTTGAAGTTAGCATTACCATATTCGCATCTAGATAGGATTCCATCCCGAACAGCTGCAAATAATAAATTTTGACTTATCATGGAATTAATTATCTAGCCAACTTCAAATTTATTTTTAAATGAAATTTAGCCCGTTTGATCCTCATTTTTGGGGTAAAATGTATTATGGAATAATGATTTTTTAGAGAATATGTAGTTAAAAAGTAAGGTAAAATTTTTGAAATACGTGTATAATTATTTTATAGGAGAATATATGGTTGAATATTTATAAACATGAACCAAACATGGGCTTAGTTACTTTGCCAATGTTCTTTTGACTAAAGGAAAGGTTGATGTTGCTTTCTAAGGTCAATGAACAACTTGAAACAAAAATGACATTTTTAATCAACATAAAATTTTGCTTAAAGGACCATCAACGTGATAAAGCATGGTCAGCTAACCTAAAGAATGAATCTTTCTATCCCGGATCCTGAAGTCCCAGGTTGTATAAAGGAGGGATCAGAAACTTACCAAATAAACGAAGTTAAGAAATAGTAAACCTACTTTGAGCCAAATGAACTAGATTTTTAGTTGCTGTAGAATGAAGTTCATTCTTCAAGAAAAGCTTAACACTGGAGTTATTGAGACAGCAGTTCTTTCCTGCATTTAGAAAATTATAAACAGAACATCAGTCAGTGCACATTTCTTATGCAGCTAGACACTACATTTTAACTTCATTTTCATCCTTAATGTTGTTTATTACTGTACAATCCACCAAACAAAACAAAAAATAAACAAATATTTACCCGTAAGCGCATCTAGCAAGCTGTATTCTCATTATTCATTCTTGAAGTTCATAAGACAATATGCAATAGATCAATTGATATATTCAATCACGGCTAAGGATGCATGTGATTGTTGAGGTGAGGTGCTAGGGAGTTGAGGCGTAAAACGGGCCACCTTGGTGTTTAGACAACCGGCCCTTTATTTTAAGCAAGCCAGACCTATGTGCTTTCACTTTTTCGCAAGTGTTTCTTTTACAAGAGGGCCCACATAGCCAGGTCAGGCACAGCCCACCTCAAGGACAGCTGCGCCTGTGCCAGGCTTTTACTATGCCAGGAGACCTGGCCATGCCTAGACCAAGCTTTTACCTCGTTGATCCGACATGTTTTGACGCCTCTACAGGTGACAGGTTAATTCATAATGAAGGGTTAAAACACTATCTGTCTATTCAATATTAAGGATGATAAGCGACAAAAATACCGGGGTGCTAGGATCAAGAGTCACATGTCGCCTGCTGAATCTGGTTCCCCTGACTTTGGAAATCCACACATCAAAGCCATTATCAGCCAATATTCATTGCCAAAGATTGTTCTGGAGGATTTACCAGCCATGTCATTCCATCCTGCAAAAAGAATTAACCATCCACAGATTCATTTACTTCAGCAAAAATACAAATAAATGATAAAAAGAAGTATACCAAAAATAAAAATAAAAACCACCTGTATGAAATCAAAGAATATAAACAAAAACAAAAATACTCTTGAAATTACAAGAAAAAGTCAACTAGCCTACCTAAATCACAGTCTCTGTTTTGACTAGATTCTATGGTATTGTACAACACGTGAAGCATCAAGACAAATCAAGAACACAGGACGTGCCCCGGCTCACAGATCGCACATAAAACATAAATAAATAAACTTTGAATAGACAAACTTGAAATAGCAACACATTAAAACCCGACTCATCTTGGGATAATGGGACAGGCTTGCGAGACCATACCTTCAAAAACAAATGTGGTAGACGAAACTCGAACCAGCCCTCTATGCACAGCTGCGCTTGGCAAGACTGACACTGCAGTCTGCCGCAGCAGATTTTTCGGACCTTGAGATGACATTCATCATTTTCTCTGCATTGACAAATTAACCATATTTCCTTTGGAAATGGATCCTGGAGAGATCCTTTCTCTCTGGAACGGTAAAGTTTCTGTTGTAGTTCAGAATCAGATTTAGTGAATGTGTAGTTATAAAGAGATAAAGAGCATCTTTCTTAGAGGTTAACACCTAACATCAGTACTGTACTGTCCAGTACTAATGTACTACTACCACTCCAGTTTAGATCAATAAAGCTGTACTGCCAAACTAATTACCTTTTAACGTGCTTATAAGCTCAACCAAACATGTTGATAAAAAGGCATGATACTTACTACAAGAACCCCATGTTGCAACAACGCCGGTGGCCTATTCGGCCCACCACTGCCACCTCCAACGCGGCCTTGGGGAATTCTTTGCACGCTTAATATATACCAATCATCAGTTAATACCTGGGACAGGCATGCTTTGTACATTAGCCATTATAATTAGAAAGTTAAATAAACTCTCTCTCTCATTGAGACCTTACATCAAACTACTGGCACTCGTAACGATGTACAGCAACCGCCGCTTCACACATGCCACCCGCCGCCGGGTCAGAATTATCATCTACTGAAACAGAAAGGCTGCAAGTCCAGCAAAAAGTGCGAAAATGCAAGACTAGAAGAAAAGTGCACAAGGTAAAGGAAGCAAAACTGGAAAGACTATGGGGAGCCACTTCTTGCCTTGTTTTACGTGGTCTGGGATTTTATAATGTGGTCGGGAATGGGGAATAGGAGGTTGTTTTGGAGATATTTTAATCCAATTAAAATTAAAAATATTGTCGTTATTGGATCTCACTCGTCTAATAAAAGTCAACAATAACCTCTGATTTTTCAATTTTAATCTCTACCAAACAAGCTCTAAAAGTTCGAGTTGAATTATGTCATATGTACACGCATTTATGTTACTCTTGTTGACACATGCGATTTTGTCAAAAATATTGCAAAAAATATTTTTTGTTTAAACGGTTCAATGAATGAATGTCGTATGAAATTATGTCAACTAAAATGTTAAAGCAAATGTAAACCAAGCATGACTTATGTCTTTTCTTGCAAGTCCAATTTATCACATGTACAATTTTCATTAATAAACTAACGATATCTATATTGGGAACTTGCACAATAAAATAACAAAATTGCACTTTTTTCTCTTCTTTTTTCCCACCGTCGAAAACACCACTGGTTCCAAATCACTAAACATGTCAGAAGGGAATTCTGCTAGTTTTTGATTCATCATCTTCTTCAAAATATGATAGGAGAGGGGAACCACAATATATACCGGCCTTTTCCATAGAAAAGGGAAATTTGTGTTGCAATAAAATAGGTTATTGCTTCTGTGAACATAGTAGCGAAATAATCATAAATCAATATTGTATAATTATTCGGTTTCCATCTGCTAACTTCAAGATACTTTCTATTGCTAAATAAAAACAGAGAGAACAATTTGCAACTCTAATAATCAAGCCACTGTGCAATGATATTTTAATCAAGTTTTAACATTTTCAAATATATACTCAATCACATTGTTAAAGTTGTGGAAATGGATTCTCTGCAGATTCCAAGATTCAGGTTTTCACCGTATAAGTTGTGCAAACACTACGCACCCCCGATTCATCTCTGTCCAACGCTCCATGAACGTCTCATCCTCTTTTTCCTTTCGCTAAAGCTACGACTTGAAATCAACCTTGTAAGGCAAGACTTCACTGATTTGTCCTCGGGTCTGAAAAGTCCATTCAATGTTTTTTCACCACTATACGCAAAGTTAGCTCCCAAAACACCAGGCGAGAGGACTGCAGATTTTGGTGGGAGGACAATGCTTGAAACCACAACTTTCACTTCTGCATCATCCACACTTTGGTTACCAGGTGCATTTTGTTCGTCGGAATCATGATCAACCTGTAAGCTCTCCTTAAAGAGGTCCGAGAGTTTCTTTTTCTTATCTGCAGGAGATGACACAGGTACAGAAACAGAGTTTCCTACAGAAGAGCTGTGATGGACTGGAGAACTACCTTGAGATGGAATGAAATCTGCATTCAAGACAACAAAATGTCGATATTAGAGAGCAATAATAACAAAATGCACTTGAACAAGTACCCAGCAAGAACAAGAACTTAGAAAATCTGATGTTAAAGTGCCGTCGAGATTGAGAAGACATGTAATGATCTCCACTC